GCTCTTTAATGAGGAGGACCTGCTTTTTATTTCTTTCAAAATACAATATACCAGTAATTCCTAAAGAGTTTGCCACAATTATGGATGCTATTTCATGCTTTTGAAAAATAATACTCTTTCATTAGGAACAGTTCCCATTCCCGAACCTGTCAGCACACCTATTGGTGAAATATGTTTCACTGTAAAAAGGTAGAAACTTTAAAATAAGAGTTCTATTCCTTGAGAACATTGTCTCTACCACCTCCTGCAGTTTCACGTTGGAACAGTCTTTTTGATCATTTAAATTAGGAAAATATATGGTCCATGCAGCAAAAGTTTTTCCTTGCAAATAAAGTAAAGACATATATTTTACATTACTCCATAACATGTACCCTGTCAAAAATTGTCTGAAGAAAAAATGTGGATCTGATTTTGGACACAAAATGCTCCTTTTGTCAGAATGACACAGAAACTCTTCTTCATTTGTTTTGGTCATGCAGTTATACTTCTCAGCTCTGGAAAGATGTTAGTTTGTTTATCTTGAATACTGTCTTACAAGATTTTTGAATGAATCCCAAATTTGCTATTTTTGGATTTTTTTAAGCGTATCCCAATGCCTGTTTTGTAATAAACCTAATTCTCTTCTTATGTAGATTCTATGTTCACAAATGTACATTTTTGAATTGTAAACCTGTTTTAAAAAGAGATAATAAAAAAATATTTCGCTTAACAAGAAAGCACTCAGAACGTACAATTTGCATGGCCTATAAAGCTGCTGTATTTAATATTTAATTACTTTTCCTTTATTATTTGTTATGTTTCTATTTTGAGCTATGGTATTTGGTTGTTCATGTTTTCTTTCTTTCTCTATTGCTATTATTTTTAATTATTGTGTTCTAATTGTATTGTACCATAGTGTAAACTGAATGGTTAAATTAAAAAAATGTAAAAATCCTCATATGCTTCGATCTCCAAAACAGCAGATGGCGAAGTGCTCGAGCAGCATGTGACGCACAGAAGCCGAACAAGACGCAGCGTCGCATTGAGTGTTCTGCGCATGCGCGCTGCCTCACGCTCTCTCGCTCACTCACTCACAATCAGGCATCATGGCGGACGTACTGGATCTTCATGAAGCGGGAGGAGAAGACTTTCCTATGGACGAGGATGGCGACGGTACAGTGGTTATTTACATTCAGACGGTGCACAGACAATTTATTTATTTGATATGATCTAATTTCACCTGTTTATTACTGTTAAATGTTTGAAATACTCGTGTTTATGTCTGGCGGGCCTAGTCCGATTAGCGCACGTGCTAATAGTTAGCTAATTCAAACGAGTTGCGCTGTTGTTGTGATTCTGCTTTATTTTGTTGCCGTGCTTTGGTTTTAGTTTTTACCCGTTTTCCAATAGTCTTTTGTATTTTTATCATGGCCAGTAAAAGTATTGTATGGTCGTTGAGCATACAGGCTCTGATGCATAAGTTCATTCCGCTTGTGTGTTAGTGCTTCATTGCAGTCTTCTATTTTAGTTTATTTTTATGTTCTCATAAAGTTGCCTTTAAAAACGTCCATTCAGTGCTTTCGAATGCATCGTATGAGTGCTTATTTTCCTTTGTTGACTTTACAGAGAGCATTCATAAGTTAAAAGAAAAAGCCAAGAAGAGGAAGGGTCGTGGGTTTGGATCAGGTAAGTCACCTCATCTCCAATCTTGTGTTTTCATGTTTTAATAAATCATGTGCTAATGATGTCTCTGGCTTTATTTGACAGAGGAGGGAGCGAGATCTAGAGCCAGAGAGGACTATGACACAGTAGAACAGGATGGAGATGAGCCTGGACCACAGAGATGTAAGTGTAACTTGCAGAACTACATAAACATCTGACTCCTCTCACTCGACCTCTGTGACCTCATGATAGAAATCAAGTGGCTGCGACGTGAACATTTGGGCGGCGTTATGCAAATCTTCCCACATTGTGAGGTAGACATGTGGGGGCGTGTTAGAACGAGCCATTTTAGGTAGGCGTGGCTGACTGAACTTTTATAAAGAATATCTCTTTGGATTTGAGACTTTAGTCTTTGCAACTTTACAGATCTTCTTTATGCACCAAGAGCTTGTAACACTCCAAAGAGAAAAGAAAAATTGAAATTGCATCATATGACCCCTTTAACATGTTTTGGTGTCATTCAGCTGTTGAAGGGTGGATTCTGTTTGTGACTGGTGTACATGAGGAGGCGACAGAAGAGGATGTCCACGACAAGTTTGCAGAATTTGGAGAGATTAAGAACTTGCATCTAAATTTGGACAGAAGAACTGGTTACCTTAAGGTTAGTTTGCAGATTCTGGTTCAGTAAAATGTCTGTAAATGAAAACGTTTTGGTTTGTAGTTTTTTGAATGACAGCTTAAGTCTGTAGACAAAAAAAAAAAATATATATATATATATATATATATATATGCGCCTTTCTAAAATGAATTAATTTTTTTTGTTTATATATGTATACATACAAACATTTATCTGTTCATATAATCACTTTGAATATATTATTATAATGGCTGCTTTTTATTTTCTGTGGTGTTGAAATAACTGATCCTACAAATAACAGGGTTTTGTGTTGACATTTCAGTTTTGGCATGGGTTATTTGGCTCAGGAAGGGTTTTTTTCTCTGTATGTGTGTATTGGCTCTGACAGACTTGATAATCTTTCTCCCAATTAAAGTAATTGTTGAATCTCATACAACAGGGATACACCTGAAAGTGCTTGATTTTGTCCACCAGATGGCAGTGTTTTAAATGGAACCCAATCTGACTTTTTGACTCAAAATGACCGTGTGTTTGGACAGGGTTTCATATGATGATATTGATGCTTTCTTGTGCTTAAACATTCTAATAATTGTTTTAGGCAATGTTTAGAATGTTATTTTCCATGATGAGAGATTTCATTTTGTTTAATGTATGGTTGCAGCAGCTTTGTATATGACTAGGGCTGCACATCTTTGATAATTCGTCTATTCAAGCACTTTCAATCAACTCAAGCAGTGGGGAGGGAGAGAAATCAAATTTAGTTTGTGCTATTTTAATTGCTTTTCTATTTGCACATGTCAGATGGAGTTCTTTGGTCAGTGTATCTAATATGGCGTGTTAAACTAAAAATAATTAAACTAAGAATAACTCAACCCCTGTGTCCTTGTCCATTCAGTCATGCTTCGTTTAACTGTTTTTATACAAATTTATGTATATCACCGTCTGCCATTGAGAAACCCATTTTGATAAATCATGAAACTTTCTCGGGGCAAGCTGACACACGTTAATGCATAAAATGTTTTATTTTGGCCTGTTTTAAGACAAAGAATGTAAAAGACAGTTCTGGAACCAATGGAAAAACATTTCTTTGAGGGTGCATGTGTTGTTTGAAACATTATCTTGGCAAATAATGAGACTTGTTTTTCATAGGGCTATGCACTGGTGGAGTACGAGACCTACAAAGAAGCCCAGGCAGCAATGGAAGGGCTGAATGGCCAGGAACTTATGGGGCAACCAATCAGCGTTGACTGGTGCTTTGTAAGAGGACCCCCTAAGAGCAAGAGGAGGTGAGTCAGTTTCTGATTCTGTTAAACTGGATTTATTTACTTGGACCGTGTCACTTGCTCACACAAACTTCATTTGTAGTGGATATTTGTCTTCTATTGAATTTAATGATACAGGCCATGATACAATATGACTAATGGACCGCTGTGCTTTCCTCTAGGGGTGGAAGAAGACGCAGCAGGAGCCCAGACAGACGGCGACGCTGATTTTCCCCGTTTTTGACTCCAGTGTCTGTTTCCCAGCCAGGGTGGCATTGTTTGTCGAGTCAGATTAGAGTGTGCGTGTATCTCATTACATAAGGATTTTAATGTTTTTGAAGGGGGAATATATATTTTTTATTGTCATAATTGTTAGCTATTGAGCAATTGTCTGTAGGTCTTTTGTTGAAGAATGCCAGACGTTGCAGAAGCATACACGTGTTGAAGCTGTCGGTATTTCCACCATGGTTTGATTTTTTTCCTTTTTTGTACAAAGTGGCAGTACACTTAAAAATGTATGTAGACGTGTAATTCTCTCATTGAAACCTGTTATGAGTAGTGATCTGTATATTTCCAATAAATTAATTTGGAGTGAAATCTTTGTTGGTTTCATGCTTTGCATTTGAGCCCATTCTACTAAAATAGTATAAATACCAAATAAATAAAGTAACCATTATTAGACAGATGTCAATTGTTATGTATAAAGTACTGCTCTGAGATTTTTTTTAACCCTCCTGTCCTGCAAATTTTGGCAATGACTTTAATGTATTAACTCATGTTGACCACATATAGTTTGATAATTACTCGACATAATTAGTTATGTTTTTGTTTATTTGCATTTTTTTTTCTTACCAGAATTTTAAATTAAATATTGTGACTATTTTGATGTTTAGATATTTGCATATTTAGTGACTTTTACAAAGAGATACTGTTACCTAGTAATGAATATTGTCTTATTTCATCAGAACTGGAATTTACACCACAGAGGAATGTCATATCTCCATTATGAAATGTTTTAGACCAGTTTTCCACTGAAATGATAGGCGTTAACCTGTCGCAAAGGAAAAAATCACTTCTGAGGTCACGCTGACAGAACATGTAGAATTGACCAGAGAAGATGCTTATGACAGTTTTCCAGCATCAGCAAAGTACATCGTGACTAAGCCGCTCCCCCTCAAATAAAATAGTTGCTCATTGCTTTGTCACTGTCACTCAGATCCGATTTTCTTTCATAGGCTCCTCGAACCGATGCCCAACATGTACAATGTGGTTAACCAACCAGCGTGGAATACTGAGCTCCCACTCTCTCTTCACATTTGCCCTTTTCTGCCCACAGGCGGAGCTTAACAGGAAACTCCTATCGCCATTGGCTCTCGTCTGTGCCTGTCAAACTTAACTCTCTCTCTGATTGGCCCAAACGGCCAGTTGAGTTTCCTTAGATGGGCGGATTTGTAGCGCCTTGGTTGACATTGTTGTTGTTGTGGGAGCACGAATGTACTTAGTCGTGAAGTCTTTTTAGGACAAGAAGCAAGACGTGTTTTTGGCATCTACACAAAGCTGAATACCATATTACCCAGGAGGAATTGATTTTCTGCGAAAGAAAAGCCCAGAGTGTGAGGAAATGAGAGAGAAATTCTGCGAGGCCGCTCGAGGTAAGCGCGCAAATGCGTTAGCTTTAGCTGCACGAGCCCGAAAAGCCCTCACGAGCGTTTTGTAACTGAACCGGGTCGATTTTCAACAGCCTCTGAGTGTCGGTGATAAATGAAAGTGTCCGTTATTTGCGCCATATCCACAGTTTGGTACCAGGTTAGATGTTTTCTGTCGAAAAACTGTGTGAAAGTAGAGCGTTAATAAGGGAAAGTTGGCCGTTAGGTCATGTTTTAGGCTGGACACACTCTGGGGGGACGGTGAGCAAATGATTGACCCTTCTTTAACTGCTGAAACTATATTAACTAACCGCCACAAACTATAAAAGTTAATTACAAGTCTTATTAAATGCTCTTAATTGTATATAACGCATCCTCAGTTTGTGGGCTAACACAATATTTGGGGCTCAGCAACTTTGAGAGACCCTCACTGTCCGCTAGCCGAGCAGCTAACTGACTGGTAAAGCAATGACAGTCTGGAGGAAAGACAAATTGTGTAGTTGAAAAGGTTTAGATTCGTAAGAGGTGAACATGTGTTCTAGATTATTGAACATCATCTGGCAGCCTATAGTTGTGGCGACTCCTTTCAGCCCACTGACCCTTAGTGCTTCACAGGCATTTGGTTGTCAAGTATGTGTGTTACATACGGCATATGCTGACCTGTGCATCATATTTGTTTGCCATTTGCTTTATATACTGTAGCTTATTGTATTGTGTACAATACGTGTCCCATAGTGTATCTTATATTCAATGTATTATATGATAACCTGATCTGCATCCTCAGTTGTTATCTTCATATGACAATTTCAGCTAAAGAGCATAATCTTGCAAATAACAAGTGTATTTAATCAGAAGATATATATATATATATTTTTTTTTGGCTGAAAAGTGCAGTTTGTTAGGTTAAAGGTGCACTCAGTCATTTTTGCTAATTAAAGAGCAATTAATAAAATCTCAAAATAGCAGTCAAAAATAGCGGTCTAACACTGTTTGAGAATAAACAGTGGGACATCAGTTGCCAAAATCAATAAAATAATTAATAAGAGTTTGTTAAATGCAAACAAAGTCATACTGATTGCATCTCTAACCGTATATTACAGCGACCGGCCAATGACAGCTAAAATGTTTTGTTGTGTGATTGCACCCATCTCAGTTGAACTGCAGTGTTTTTCAGTAACCCAAATGTGTACATGAAACTGTAAGGAAGTTAATAAGCTACTTTTTCCCACAACTGTCATTCTTTTTTGCTTCTGTTCTTCTTCTGGTGGAATTTGACAGAGATCTTAGTGTGGGGCGCTCATTACCGAACCCTGCTTAAAATGAAAGCTGTGGGCACTTGCTGCCATGGTTTGAATCCCTACAATGTGTGGGTACGGTTACACTCAGCCCTGAATTATTCAGCTCTGTATTTACAAGCTCTTTTGTCAGCTTGTTGTTTAGTGAAGGCAGCCACCCCTAAACATGAAAGTAGGACATGCAAACAAAGTCTTGGGGTTTTAGACAGTTTGGGCTTGTTTTTCTCTCGTGTGGACCTTGAAAATAGTAGTAGCTAAGCCTTTGTAGTTTAAACACAGACACACACATCAGCCTCATTATGATTTCATATTTGTTTTATACTTGGATACTTGACAAATGAACATCAACATTAACTTTTTTTTTTTTTTCAACATGTTCTGTGACAAATTAATTTTTAAAAGTAGAAATAGTCCATGCAGTTTCTAGATTAATATAAAGTCATGAAAGCTGCATGCACAATAATTATTGAGCAATTTGACTATGCTGTTTGACGTAGTTTTATGGAGATTCACATGTCACACCCCAGGACAGTCCACTAAGTGGTTACTTTACATTGTCTTAGACATCTTGCTTTGTGCTTAAAGCAGGGTGTTTTAACACTTAAACTGTTCTGTAGCTCTGCTAACCTGCAGTTGTCTGTTAGTTATGGTGAAGTTCAGAGGCTTTTATTTTAATTCAGAAGTGTTCAGACTAATGTCATGATCATGTTGTTGCCCTTGGGTTTACATCAAACTGTTACAGACTAAATGGACTGCTTTAGAGATGTTCCACTATTCTTTTCATTTTTACGCATTACCACAAAGACCTTGTGTAGTACAGAGAAAAGTGTGTTTTATGTATGATGATTTGCAGTAAACGGGTTGAAAGTTACATGATCTTAGAGCTTTTTCCTCTGATTCATACTCTATTTCCAGCACACCTGAAACTGAAGAACAAGAGTTGACTGCGCTTCTTGGAGGTCTATGCTCCATCATTTGTTAGTCTACTATGTGACGTTATTAATGGTTTTTGGGAACTTAAGTGATTTCTGTTAAATAAAATATCTCCTTTTGAAGTGGACTTTGTAACTTTGCAGATCTTTTTTTATGCTCAAACAGCAACATTACAGACTAACTTTACATTTAAAAAGTGAAAAAGCATAATCAGACCCCTTTAAAACACTTCAGAGAGAGTGTTAATGACGAAAACATGCTTTAAAGTTCTGCTGATAAGCGTGTTTAAGTGACCAGTATAGTTCAATAATCATTATTTGGGTTGGGCCAGTTTACAGCAGTGTGCTTGTTTGTTATAAGAATGTGTTACTGTCACCATGTAATAGTAATAGTGGTACCTGCAGGGTGAGTAAATGTCCCCTTTTTACTGGACATGTCCTGGCTGTGATTTCTAAATTGCCTATAATGTCCAGGTTTTGGTTTTGTTTTCCTGTTGTTTTCATACATTTTGGAGATAATGACTGAAAAGTGTTTTGACAAATAGTGTGCAGGTATTGTACATAATCAACCAATCGTGGCGTGTGAGAAGGTGGGATCTATAGAGAACAGCCAAAACAATGCAAATGGGCATTCATATAATGTATGAGGACTGTAGAGAGCATGTCAATAGGAAAACAAAGACAAAACCTGGACATTTTAGAAAGCCTGACAAAGGCATGTCCAGGAAAAAAAGGCAAATGGCCACCCTACATTATTGATGTACGCCCAAGTGTGCTACTTCAGACACCTGATAACCGATGCTTATGTTCTGTGCTTTGCATCAGTCTGTGTTTGTGTAAATCCTTATTATTACATTTTTTTTTTGTGAGAGCTAATTGTGAACTAGGTGTCTGGTAAGAACCTGCAGGTGCTGCTGGTTAATTATGAAAATTTAAGTGGTGTTCCCTCACCAGTGGGCCTGTGAACAGCTGGTGAATGAGAGCAGGTGGGGCAGAGACTCCATATCACTTGCAGTGTTATCCACTGAGCCAAAATGCTCCCACAACAGTCATCTGCCCTGATAAACACAGGCACCATATTAAATTGATATGAGACCCTCAGCTTTAGACTTCTAGCTTTTTTAAATATAGAGAAAATATAGGCTATCACTTGATATTAAGCCAACATGCGCCATCACCATTGTGCCCTTGAGCAAAGCGCTTGGTTGAGCAGGTTGCTCCAGGTGAAATGACCCTGGATAAAAGTGACGGACTGCTCACATTATGTGTAGTCAAAGAGCGTTGTCTTGAACTTGTGTAATTGCTTGATGTTAAGCTGTAGCTTTAAAATGCAGGTTGTTTTTTTCTACAGCACAGCACAGAGCTTCTAGGAACTATCTGTTCTCTTGGTTTCTCCAAAAGACCATGTGACGACAGCCAGTGCCCACGGTTTGATTCATTACTCTGGAGAGTCCCGCTAGCAGCATACCTTGCTTCCCCAGACCTATGCGTCAGCTTCACAGCATTCTTTATGAAACCGCTATTCTTCAGAGCGCCACAGATTATACTGTGCAACAAAAGCAGAACTGCTAGTCTTAAACAGTTGTCAGTGAGTCAAATAAACAATATCAGCCATGTAACCGTCAGTTTACCCAAGCCACCAGCGCTGTGACTGTCACTGGACCCAGTGCCTGGTGTGAAAGTGTGCTGATCTCATGGCTCATTCCTCATGCCTTGGACCTCAGTCTTGATCCAGAGCAGCCGTAATCCTATCCCAGAGAATCTCTAGAGGAGTCTTTCGCCTTGGATGACATCACAGGGATTGACACAAAGATGCCTGGCTGTCAGGTTTGCAGCATGTGATTCACATGAGCAATAGCTGCCTTAGGTTGTAGATAATTCGTATTGAGCTGCTGTTGCACACACGTTAGATGCCTATAATTTGTTATATGGTCCAGGAGTCCTACCTGATTATACATTTGTTTGCTATGGAAGGAATATTACTTTTGCTATTTACTCTGTTGAAAATTGAACCCTGGTGAATTGTTTTGTTTGAAGTGTTTTATTTGAGTAACAAAGCAGTTAAGATTATCTTGCTTAAGCTTTTTGTACAGATAAGTTTGTTTGAGTTTACTTATGGTCATGGTAGACTTTTGTTTTATGAAAGAAAGTAGCAACACTAGATAAAATACATATGCTTTTAAGAAAGATGTGTAAATCAAAACTCAGACCACATCCTGCCACATTAATATGGATTGCAGAACGGTATCAGAGTAAATGCAACAACTCAAATTCATCATTCATGCAACAATAGCATCCTTTGTTTCCCATGGCACAGTGAGCATTGCACATTTTTCAAATGACAGAAGCCTTCTGACATGATTGTGCACTTCAGACTATGCCTGCTCAAACGGCTAGTTTTCTAATGTGTGTTTGTGAATATCAAATACATAAATGTTACACAGTCAGATGTGAATGGAATAGGGGAAACCCAAATCATGTACACAGTACAGTATGACTCGTCGTCCAAACATTGTTTAGTTTGGGTTGGCAAACTCTCCTGCACTGTAAAAACTTTGGCGAATTGTTTGCCAGGGTCAATGAAAACATAACTGTTGCTATCTTTTATTTTTATCTCTTATTTTTGCAGCACAGCAGTAGTCTTAGCCTTGAAGCAGAATTGCCATGGGGCTACTGAGATGGTGGGCTCAGATGGATTTTTTTCTGCATTTCCTTCAGTGATTTTTGGTGAAAACCTGTGGTAGAATGGGATTGAATGCAGTGCAGTGTTAAATGGAGT